ATGTACCATGCATATACCTTGCTAGCAGCCAGAGGGTCAGGCAACCTTGGCGTCTTGAGTTGATTTGCCTCAGCTATATCAGAAAACTTCCAGCATTTAATTCTATCAGCATTATCTGAAATCCTTGGTTTGACATCAGCTATTGTGCTTCCATCCATGGCAGCCTGTAAATGAGTCAGATCAATGAGTGAGCCAAACAGAGCACAGCAACAACATTGAAGATGGATGTACAGACAGAAATCATCAATTAAAAGACAAAAGTTTTTAAAGATAATGGAATGGGAAAAACAGAATACAAGATTTCCAATGGATAATGATTGTTGAATTCTGTCGGTTCGTTCAAGAATTGAAGCAACAGGGGCAGCAACATGACCAATAGGGCCCAAAGAACCATCAATTGCAGGCTGCAGAAAACAATGCAAATAAATCATGTGATGCCTTCTGCAAAAAAAAAGAAAACAAATAAAAAGAGAAGTGCAGGTACTTAACATTGACTTGTTCAGAGAAAGCCCTGGATTCCTCGAATGTTCTGCTCTCCAGCATCCTCAACAAGTATTGTCCATCTGTATTCACCAATATTTTGATTCCATTTTCTCTTGTTGTAACAGCAAGCAGTGATCCTTCTTTGTTGAATCTCGGGCTAGGACTTCCCTGAAACGACAAAAAAAATTCATTAATTTTGAATTTGCGAAGTTGCAGTAAAAGGCTTATCAACAAAATATGGTTGTTTTCAAAAGTGATACTTACAGGCAATCCCCCATCAGCATCGGTGAAAGTTATCGCGTGGTTATTATCCATGTCCCAAAACTTAATCTGAAACTCATCATCAGCAGCTAAGAAACGATTCCTTCTATCAAATTGCACCACACCCAGTGACCGTTTCCTAAAACCAGAGTATGTCTTCTTGACGGCTCCTTCTCTCTCATTCCATTCAACAAGGTGGGATTCACCTTCTTTGCTCGTCCCACAAGAGAACAATCTGAAGCAATAACAGATTGATGAAGCAACTTTGGAGAAATCAAAAAAGAAAAATTTAAAAAGTCAGAGAGCAGAACCACCAATGCTTTCCAAGGAAAAAGTATGCAAAAGAAAAGATCACAGAGTGCTAATTTTCACCATGATAGATTTTGGCTTCAGAAGAACATCTCAAGGGTTACACGAAATGTTTAAACACTATTAAGTTGTTCCTTACTTCAGATTTACAGCTTTCACAAGTCGCATAGTCGATGACTTGGGGACTGAGAAACAATCTATGTGGGGACTGGAGTTGGGCATGTGGTGACCAATCAGTCACTAGGCTGTGAAAAGTCCCCTTGAATGGTGGAGCTTTCGCTAGTCTAGTGTCTTTTAGCTGATTTAAGCTATACATTACTAAAAGAAAAGAGGATATATACACCTAAAAATTAAAGGCTCAAGATCTCGTGCATCCTGATGCAATGCAGCATGTCATGCATCCACACTTTCTATTGGCTGGCAGAACTAATTACAAAAGTTTTGAGCTTGGATCCGTTAAAACGGAGGGAATGAAGGAAAATGGAAGTTTGGATTTAACATTTAACTGAGGAAATTACTCTGGAAAATGTGTAATTTGGCGAGAAAGAGAGCACAAGAACTAACAAATAGTGCAGGAACCATTTCTTCATGCTAATAAATGTCGACTGCCAATCAATTTCAAATTGCAGAGGAAGATTCTAAGCTAAACCTGCGGAACCAACAAATCCGTGGTCTTTTTCCTCCTCCTGCGATCAAGACTAAGTAAAATTGCGAGAAAATATGAGATTGAACAATCCCAGCTTTGTACTTTCTTGTGGGAACATTTTGCACCCATAAGTGTTCCTTTCACAAATATAATAAAATGTTTTGGGCAAATTTCACTTTACCCCCTTGTGGTTTAACATTTTTTTACATAATCCTCTTGCGGTTTTAAAAGCTATACAAAATCCCCTTCTGATTTGGATTAAAGTGTCAAAGTGACGGGAATGACCATTCGTAATGGAGTCACCTAAAATGTCAAAAATACTCTTATGTAAAGTTGAAAATTATTTATTAACCAAGAGGGGTTATGTGTATATTTTGAAAATCATAAGAGGGTTATATGGTAAATGATTAAACCATAAGGGGGTTATATAGTAAAATATAAAAATCATACGAGATTAATGTGTCATGTATTTATAAGGATAATTTCGACATTTTTAGAAGTTTCGTTACGAGTGACTATTTCCGTCACTTTGACACTTTAATTTAAACCATGAGGGGTTATGTATAACTTTTGAAATCATATGGGGGTTATGTAAAAAATGCTAAATCACAGGGGATAAAATGTAATTTGTCCAAATGTTTTTTAAAAAACTGCCCTAGGTACATCTTACTCATTTTCCAAAAACTGCATAATGACAAGTCTTTCCTGTTACTGAATCAATAAAGAATTACACTCATTTGATTTAACTTGATAAGATTAATTTGGTTATTTAAAAATTTAAATAGTAAAATTTGTGAATAGTAGATTATATTAGGTGACTTGAAGAAGAGATTATTAGATTCAGGCATAAGGTTGTTTATCCCACGTTGGTTTGAGAGTAAGAAAAAGAACGCTTAATACATAAATAGTGCCCCGAAACTTTCTACTTTAAAATTTTTTGGGCCAAGTTTGGATTTCTGATATGATGTATTAATTCTATTTGGCCTTTCGGGTTCCAAACAGAGACGGGGTCCTATGGTAGAGCCACTTTTGACCTGCAACGGATCCACTGTACCACACTCTGTCTCACATCCTATCCCACTCCTTCTAATCTTGCCAAGTGTCCCTTTATAAACCAAATCCTGAAGCAACCAACTCGGACTATATTTAATTAGTTAACCGATTAATTGGGCAGAAAAACTTAATCTCTGTAACCGGTTGTCAACTAAAATAAAAACCCAATCACAAAATTAGAGATTAAACAAGGGGAAAAAAACCACGAAACCTGAGTCGTCATCTCCACCATACCCTTCGAAACAAAAGAATCAGATATCACTCCTTCTCAAAAGCATCTTTCGGGTGAAACTCATCATCTCATCAGCGTGTTTCGGGAAAGGCAATTGAATGACGCTCACCACCTGTTCATTGAGAAATCCAAATTCATGATGGTTCTCTGCTTCTTCATTGAATAATAATTACCCATATTTTATCCAGCAAATCGTTGAGAAAATAAAAAGGATCCATGAAATTAAGAACTATCTTGGACGCAGCAGGCCAGAGATTAACACTTTCAGCATCTGGGAAATACCAATGCATAAGAAAATCGCCACTCCAAAACCTTTTCTGCTAAACGAAAGCTAGTCTTCAACTGAACAGTGGGAGTAGGTGAATTTTCCTTCAAATAGTTACTCTTTTCCTCTGTGGGCAACTCAAAGAATCTATGCAAAGGGATTGATGGGTTCGTCTTGTTTCAGTCGTTAAGTTTCGGGATTTCTTTTTTTAAATCTCTGTTGATTGAAGATCTATTTGCTTAAGATGTTTTCTGTTCAAAAATTTTTGTGCTTTTGTGTTTGTATTGTACCTGTTGAATTGTGAGTGATATCTGATGAGATGATGAGTTTCACCCGAAAGATGCTTTTGAGAAGTGACATCTGATTCTTTTGTTTCGAAGGGTATGGTGGAGATGACGACTCAAGTTTCATGGTTTTTTTCCCCTTGTTTAATCTCTAATTTTGTGATTGGGCTTTTTATTTTAGTTGATAACTGGTTACAGAGATTAAGTTTTTCTGTCCGATTAATCGGTTAACTAATTAAATATGGTCCGAGTTGGTTGCTTCAGGATTTGGTTTATAAAGGGACACTTGGCAAGATAAGAAGGAATGGGATAGGATGTGAGACAGAGTGTGGTACAGAGGATCCATTGCGCTTTTGACCATGGTACATCCTGAACCTGAAACTTCCACTTCAACACGTTTTTTTTTTTTTTGTCAGACTTTTTCAAAGTTAGCAAATAAACCTAATCCCAAAGTTAACCTCAAAAGCCGGCAACTCTTGAGGCAACCTTGGGGACTTATCTACCCACCCCTCAAACCCCTTAGAAGCGATGTGATAATATCACTAGCCTCCCTTGAAGTTTGTAAAATTACACAAACCTCTCTTAAGGTTAAGGTTTTGATAACAAATTAGTCTAATTAGAAAAAGTAACATTAAAAAAGTACTTTAAGAAAAGAGATGAAACTTTGATTCCATAAATACCCCTTATACATGTATATAAATTATATTAGTAAAAAAAATAATTAAAATTTAGAAATAATTAATACACATATTTTATCACTCACAAAGTTCACATTTAACAAATTAGACAACACAAATAAATAAAAACTACACTAATGATCACAAGATTCAACAAAATAGACTAGTCATCTTTTTTAACATGATGTTTGCTATGATTTTTATGATTTTAAACACAAAAATTTTTTAATTTTGCTTTTCTTTTCCCTTCATTCCCCAAAATAGACTAATCATACCCAGAATATAAAATCCACCCCCCTCTTAGTTCTTAAATTTTAACCGTTGGCACTCTATAGCTAAAGTATGAAATTTATCTAGTAGTTTTAATTCCTAAACTTTGAGTATCACTTGCTTACTATTTCATTAGTTTTGATATTTTTGTAGGATGGATTTTATATTTTAGAAAGTAAGGTGTGCAAAACTAAAGTGCAATGTATTTTAAACTTTAGGAGGTAAAGCGTCTAAAAATAAAGTTTAAAAGTTGAGTCGAATGTATCTACTATTTAAGGGATCAAAGTAAAGTTTACTTTAAGTATCTTGTAGTCATGTAGTAATTTCGATCTACTTTCTTATTCCATTGCTTGGAAAAATTCTAGACTATAAGTCAACAGGTTCACTTATTGTAATACAACACGGCCAGGAAACTCATAAGCAATTTCACTCTACTTTTTTTTATTCAATAACAAATAGTGACCCCTTATATATAGAAGTTGACCTTTGACAAAAAAAAAAAAAAAATAGTGACCCCTTACCTGCTACTACTACTTTGTCCGTTATGATGGACCGTCTCCATTGCAAAAAGTCTTGCACTTATGGTTTGTATTTTGGTTGAAATCATCATCTTTCTCTGAATGCTCTCTTCTCCTTATACTTAAATTTTGAGTGAGCAGGTGCACGACATACTGGGAATTTTTTGCACGTTCATCAGATCATCAGCTATTACAAGAGATTTCATTTTCTCCCAAGTAAGTGCTGAATTTTGTTTCATTTTCTTAAACTTAAAGTTTTTTTTTTAAATCGTAGCTTCACCATATGGAGCGATTTCTTTTGCAAATTCTACAGATCAGCTATTGCCAGAGTACTCATTCATTCAAAAGTAAGCGCTGAGTTTCTTTTCGCTTCATCAAACACGTCTTTTGATTCAAAATATAGCCTCTGTGTTGTGTTTTTAACATTACTTCTACGAGTATATTCTTGTTTGCTACCAAATAACCTTTAGGGCTGGGATTTGGCTTCCTGTTATTCATGTTTTGATACAACAGTTTGGAAGCATGTGCTTTGTACATTACCCGTGTTTCTTTGTATATAATTATTTTGAGTACTATATTTTCATGAAAGAAGTAAGAAGGGTAAAATATATAAATATTTAAACTTGATGAAGGCATTATAATAATTTTGTTTGGATAGGGTATTATTTGAAATATTATTTGGAATAACTACTGTAGTACTTTTTGTGATGTGATGTATGTGAGATAAAAAGGTGATTGGAAATATAAAAAGGTGGGTTGGAAAATGTGTTTATGATGCAAGCGAAATATTATTTGGGATAATTTTACTATCCAAACAAATTGCATTAATGGTTATCTTGTCGGCAGATTTTAAGAGTCCTTTTGGTCATATTCTCAAATTAAATTCACATTGGATGGTGAAATAATAATTGTTTTAGTCTTTTAGACTCTTCGATCATTTTAAAATTTGAACCACTGTCGTTTCTTAAGAGCTAAAATTGTAGGAATAATTGTCTGAAGGGACCATATATAGAAGTTTCCTATCTGTTCAGATTTTGATTATTTTTAGTCTATCTTTTACAGGATTTTTTCTGGGTTTCGCAACCTTTTTTTTTTGGGATTAATATGCCAGGTGACTGATGGCTGTCAACTATGAGAACCTTTTTTATTTTATTTTATTTTATTTTGTTATCATAAGGTTTAAAACATTTCATTTCTGTATTTGATGATATCGAGCTTTTTGTACATATACCTTATACCCAAAAAAAAAAAATTGCCCTTTTCCTTTTGACATCCCTCTCCTTGCCCCTAAGAACTTAATTAACATTCACTTTCCATTTCCTCTTTTGTAATTTTCAGGTCACACTTGATGGAAGCGTTATTGGAAAGTCTGGTAAAATTTCTGAATTCTCCCATAATCCAGGAGGAGCTTGGATTGCTTTGTGGTATTGAAACAGAGTTACAAAAGCTTTCAAGCTTGCTATCAACAACCAAAGCAGTGATTGAAGATGCCGAGCAGAAGCAGTTTACTGACAAGGCAATTCAGCTTTGGCTGCAGAAGCTCAATCTTATTGCTTATGAAGTCGATGACATATTAGATGATTATGCAACTGAAGTCTCGAGAGAACCGAAGTGCAACAACATATGTTGCAATGTATTGGATTGTCTTCCAGCAACATCAAACATATGGTTTCGGCACAGGCTTGGAGCAAGGATGAAGGAAATCAATGGAAAATTTGATGCAGTTGCTGATGAGAGAATAAAGCTTGGATTAAGTGATCAGAAGCGTGGGAGCAACCACTTTTTGCTTGATTCCACTGCAACACGTGAGACTGGTTCCTTGCTAAATGAACCTGATCTAGTCCTTGGAAGGGACGAGGAGAAAGACGAGATTGTGAAAATATTGGTGAATCAAGTCAGCGATAATCAAAATGTATCAGTGCTCCCTATAGTGGGTGTTGGAGGCCTTGGAAAGACAACACTTGCACAATTGGTCTTCAATGGTAAGCGCGTAATTGAGCATTTTGAGCTAAAACTCTGGGTTTGGGTTTCAGAGGATTTTGATGTGAAGAGGATAATAAAAGCCTTAATTGAGTCTGCAAAAGGGACTTCTGCTGAAGCCCTAGGCATGGATCCTCTTCGAAGAAAACTTCAAGAGTTGTTGAGAGGGAAAAGATACTTGATTGTACTGGATGATGTCTGGAATGAGAATCCAGAGGAATGGGAGAAACTGAAATCTGTTCTGGAATGCGGCTCAAGAGGTAGTTCAATTGTCACAACAACTCGTGTGGAGAAGGTTGCCACAATAATGGGCACATTACAGAAACATTATCTGTCAAGTTTGTCAAACAATCAGTGTTGGTCATTGTTTAGGCAACGGGCATTTGGTCGTCAAGAGGCAGAAAAATATCCTAACCTTATAGCCATTGGAAAAGAGATTGTGAAAAAATGTGGTGGTGTTCCACTAGCTGCAAAGGCTCTCGGAGGCTTTCTACGATTCAAGAGAGAAGAAACTGAATGGAACTTTGTGAAATCTAGTGAGCTTTGGAACTTACCTGAAGTTGAAACACATATCTTGCCCGCATTGAGATTGAGCTACCTTAATCTTCCGGTAGAGTTGAGAGGTTGCTTTGCAAATTGTGCAGTATTTCCCAAGGGCTCTGAAATTGAAAAAGAAGAGGTAATACATTTGTGGATGGCAAATGGATTGATTTCATCTAATGGAACGATGGAAGTGGAAGATGTTGGTGATGCTGTGCTGACTGAACTACATTATAGATCACTGTTCCAAGCTATGGCGAAAGATGAGTTTGGCAGTGTCCTCACTTTTAACATGCATGACCTTGTCCATGATCTAGCTCAATCTGTAATGGAGGCGAAACAAGGTGGAACAGAGTCAAAAAGAACCATGATGTTGTTTCTGGGACATCAGCTAACAATGGCTTTTCCTATTACAAGCACAGGCATTGATCAGTTTTCTTCTTTCTTGTCAAAATGTGGTTCCTTGAGGGCGCTCATTGTAAGCTCAATGTGGTTGAAAGAACAATTTATGAAGTTGCCACTTGCAGTAAGCAACCTGCAACATTTGAGGCATCTAAATCTTTCAAGATCTGAAATTGTTGAACTACCCAAATTCAATTTGTGACTTGTGGAATTTACAAATTTTAAACCTAAATGATTGTGCTGAACTTCAAAGTCTACCCAAAGGCATGAGATTCCTCAGAAATCTTCGACATCTTTGTCTACGAGGGTGCTTGGGATTGACTCACATGCCAAGTGAAATGGGGAAGTTGACTTGCCTACGGACGTTGAGTATGGTCATCCTGGGTGGCAAAAGAGGCTTCCGACTAAGTGAGTTGAAAGACTTAAATATGCTTAGAGGAGAGCTATCAATTAGGCACATTGAGAGGGTTGAAGACAAAAACGATGCAGAAGAAGCTTGCTTAATTCAAAAACAGTCTCCGCAAGTTGTATTTGGATTGGGATTCTGAAAGAATGTTTGAAAGGCACAATGATGTGGAAGTGCTCAAAGCCTTGAAACCCTGCCCCAACCTTCAATTGCTGCATACACAAGGCTTCAATGGTTCATCTTTTCCACCTTGGATTTCAACTGTAACAAATGTTTATGTGCTCCAAAGTGCAGCGGAGTACATAGTTGGGGCCCAGGAGAGTACTGCCGCTGTTGCTGCAATGTCCCCATTGTTGAAACAACTGCAGTTAACGAGGATGCCCAACCTAGAAGGAATGTTAGGAAGAGAAGTCCAAGGTGCTGCTAATACTCCGGGGGTATTCTCTCAACTTCAATACTTGTCTTTTGTTTATTGTCCAACGTTGACATTGCCATTGCCACTTATCCCATCCCTACAGAAGTTACTTGTCTGGAAATGCCCGAACATGGCATGGGCTTCAATCTCCAATCTCACTAGTCTTAAATCCCTTATAATTATGGACATTGAAGGATTGAGTTGTTTTCCAGAAGAGATGCTACAAAATCTTAGCCTTCTTGAATCCCTGGAAATTAGGGAGATGAAGAATCTTCGAGCCTTACCCAGAAGCTTGGCTAGCCTCACGGCTTTGAAGGAGTTGGCCATCGCGCACTGTGCCCAGCTGAAGTCTCTACCAAAAGAAGGATTGCGAGGCCTTGCTTCTTTGCAGAGTTTCAATATCTACGAATGCTATAATTTGGTGAGTCTCTCAATGGGGACTAAAGCCCTCAAATCCCTAACTCATCTACGCATTTCAAGGTCAAACGCGATAACTCTGCCAGAGGAAGTCAAATATTTGCCCGCACTACAAAAACTAGAGCTGAATGATTTTCCCAATCTAACTTCAGTGCCGGACTGGTTTGGAAACCACCTAACTTCTCTTCAAGACTTGACACTAAAATATTGTCCCAAGCTTGAAACACTTCCATCCAGCATTCAAATGATGACAACACTCCAAAGTTTGACTATATTTGGCTGCGCCCTGTTGGGACCACAGTGCAAAAGGAAAGGAGAGGAATGGCACAAAATTAAGCACATCCCGGACCTGAGTATTTGATAATACAATTATGTATGTGTGGGCCTGCTTATAACATAATTATGTAATAAAGTATTTGTGTACTGTCCTGTAAGTGTGGAGAAGACCAACACTAGTACGTAATTGATACAATGCCTACTTGATATGAATTTAGTCATTTGCTAGAGGTTGTATTAAATGAAGAAGATATTTGGGATTTCATTGCAGTTCTAGTATTTTTTTTCATAATGCTATTACTTTAGACCATCCACATTTGAAAATGTAAGATTAATTATGGAAAATAAATAAATACAAGAAAGTGTAGGTAAAATTAAATAGGGAAAACATATAAATGCAAAGGAGAATAATAATTATTGATATGTATATATACATTATAAATTCGATGAATTTTAGATGTGTTAATGGGTGCCCTTGACCCAAAGAAATAACCATGAAAATTTTTTCCCTAAAAAAAAGAAGAAATGATCTATGATTGAAAATCCGAAGTATCATGTAACTTTTGATTGAGAACAAACATATTATGACTAATCTGGAACCAGAAACATAGCAGTAGGCTTAAATGAAGAAGATATTAGTATTTGATTAAAAATGTTAGTTTCTCATAATGCTATCGCTTTATACCATCCACATCTTACTTGCAACTCAAATAACGAAACTATGGTTGGATGAAGCTCATAATCATATCAAGAATGCTACTTTATATCTTGTAATTTCATGTGCACATGACTGTTTAACATTTGAGCAGTTTACTATAGGATTTCTTTCTTGTATAGTTTTATTCACAAATAATTATCTAAGAAAACAAAATTTCAGATTTTGTAACCTATCCATTGATAAAAAAAAATTTTAAATGTAAAAGATGGTCAGGCATTACAAAAAAAAAAAAGGGGAAGAAATATGATTATATTTTATAGTAATATATTTTTGTAAAGATAAGGAAAATGCCAAGGAAATTCCGTATTGTATGCCGAGGGTGCTGTCCAATATCGAGCCTCGTCTAAAGATATTCAAATTGCACCATTAGTTAATTCCTTTGCAAAAACTAGGTAGACAGTCTAAATCCACTTGGCAAACATTAGTTAATTCCTTAGACCTACTCTAGTTTTTCTTTTCTTTTCGTCTTATTCTCTTTTCTTTTCTTTTTTTTTTTTTGAATTCCTCTAGGGGCTCTGATGGCATCCCTCATGAGTTCACCTTCTCTAAAAAAACAATTGATAGAATATATTCTAAACAAAAGTGTTACAATAATATTTTCTGTAAAAATTATTCTACATAGACACAATTATGTTGACCTATTTGTTTGGGTTTGGATATAAAAGTTTACCTAAAAGCTGAAAGAAATTCAGCAGCTGTAACCCAAGTGCACAGGAGCAATCACCAAAAAAATAAAATAAAAATGTAAATGATGGGCCTCGTATACCTGGACTTTCCAAGGGGACCGAAAATGGTAGAAGACTCGCAGACCCATGACATGAGTTGGATACATGACCGACATTTCTGGCCCATATGTCAAGGCAGAAACAGCTTTGCAAACCAACGTAACTGACCAAACAGTCCAATGCAAACTAGTGTTCATTAATTTAGGTTACGTTTGGATCAAGAGATTTGACGAAAAATTTAAAATCCTTTCATATTTTTTCTAGTTATTTAGATTATTTTAAAGTTATTTAGATTATTTTAAAGTTATTTGGATTTATAAATTATCAATTATTTTAGTATTCAAAATGCATTTAAACAATCTGTAAATTACAAATCCAAATGTCTCTTAAGATATCTAAAGAATTAAAATGATTTGAGGGGATTTCAAATTCTTAATCAAATTTCTCAATCCAAGCAAAGCCTAACTGAAGTAGTTTGAAGTAATGAATTCTGTACTAATATGAAGGGAGAAACCTTTCTTGGTTGCAGAAATTTCCATCGACTTGCGGTGAAGTTTAAGCAGCAAATATTGACAATTCAGGCTAAAGATGAGATTGTATATACATTTTCTTACTAAACTGAGTTAAGGGACCTAAGAATATTCTCTCAGTCAAACATTTGAATAAAAAAAATAGATTAATCCTTTTTATACTAATAGTAGTATATACACTATCAATTTTGGATGAATGACAATTATGTAAAATTTGAATTTAAAATCTAATTTTTACACATGTTATAGATCCAATGGTAATAGTGTATACACTGTCAGTGTATATAAGATTTACTCATTATATGTTTTCCTACTACATAGGCAGCATACTAATTATCAAAAGAAAAGAAATAATCATTCAAATTAACCCCTCCTCTCCTCCTCCTCTTTAGAAAAAACTCTCTAAATAAAACTCTCTTCAACTCTCCTATGGGAGAGAGATCAAATTTTTCTGATCTTTTTCCATTGGAGGAGCCCTCTCTATAGCTTTTTTTTTTTAATTGTGTGAATAAAATCTCTCCTAAGATTTTCTAGTGAGAGTTTCTTTTCTTTTAGGGTTGTCTAGTGAGAGTTTTCTTCTCTCCTAAATTTTTTTAGTTAGAGTTTTATTTTCTCCTGAAAAATATATATTTTCCTACTACATATATAGGTATAGTACTAATTGATAACTATTTAATATAGATCTCCCAATGATTTACCTATGTGTTTTATTTAGTGCCTCCAATCTTTTGATCATGGATATTAATTATTAACAAAATTATAAAAGACATTCCAAAAAATAGTTTCTCTTTTCATAGAAGTATATCTAATTTTCTTTTACAAAACTTACGCATAACAAAGGCCTTGTTTGGCAAGCAAGTTTTTGGCTAAGTTTGTCTTCTACAAGTTTTTTAACAACTTTAACTACAACTAGGAGGCATAAATGCGCTTTGCGCGATGGAAATATAAAATGCCCTGCCCAATTTTATAGAGAGCAAAAAGCAAAATATATGAAGTATTAAAAATAATAATTTATCTAGAAAAGATATGCTGATTATTAGTAAAATTCAAAAGGAATAGATCCTTGAACATGTAGTGTACAGAGTTAAATCTGTTCAGTAATTTGTTTTGCATATAAAAACTATTTATAAAAGAAATTGCACTGATTAATTATTAGTTGAAAAAGAAAAAGAGGACATCAAAGTTACAGAAAAACATTCAAACATTCACTATCAAAATTGGATAGGTACAGTCAATAGCTTAATGACCAATTTTGGGTCTAAACATGCATTATGAAACCTTGATTCGCTTAATAATTCCAACAACTTGCTAAACATCAAGCTTCTAATGCTAAATGCAACACAAAATCTGCTATGTGAAGCAATGTGTGGTGACTTTACTTACGAAATACAAAATTACTTCTTCCCTTCTTAAAGCAGTTCATTTATTTGCTTGTAGTTTAAGACCCGCTCTTATTGCAAGCCAAGAATTTGACAGTTACAAATGATCACCCATAAAACAGATTAGCATAAAATGCAAAAAAACTGTACACAAACACAAAAAAGTAAGCAGCGTACAACGGAAATGGCATCTGAGCCATATTAATCAACAACCTACCTACTACAAAATATCTGTGGTTGAGTTCTTTATAACAAGGACAACTACACATTTAACTAAAAATATCTACTAAAACTGTTCTCTAGAAAAAGGCTGAACAAATTAAAAAATTACAATAATCAATTTACATTGAGTCACACTCCTAATCAGACTACATGAATGCCTAACACAGCATGTATAACAGATTCCTTCTTCTTAGCTGCTCAACCACATGATCACCCAGTTCAACATTCTGTAACAAAAAATCACAAGGATAATCATAAACCGCATAAGTATGAATAGCCAATATACCCCACAATGTAAATTAATCTCTTGACTCCATTGCAAAATATCAATACCACAATGTAAAATATGCACAAGACCATGACAACCATTAAGAACATCATTTTTCACAATCCAAATTCTATTCCTTCAATAGAAAAATAGACACACAAAGAATTTCCATTTTATACAAAATCAAGAGACAACAAGCACAAAATTTCCTTCATATATCATATTGTCAAACACCAAAAGCAATTAAACCCAAAAATTTGAGGTAAAAAATTCAAAACTGCAATGAAAATTGGATTCTCATCAATCAGAACCTATTTCTTATGGAATCCACTAATTAATCACAAATGACCAATCCTTCAAGCCTTGGAACCACCAAAGTATCAAAACAAAACATTACAAAAAAAAAACAAAAATAAATTTGCATGCACGAAAACGAGAAAAAGAAGAGGAAACCAAGCAAAAGGCACTAAACCACCAGTTTTTTTAAAAAAAAATCTCCCAAGGGAAAAAAATGCACTAACGTTTCAAACCACCAAAGATCTTCTCATGGAGAACACAAAAGGATTATAGGAGCAATCTACTTATTCTGAAGCCGGAGTCCAAGAAATTGGAAATCTAAACACAAAAAAGAAGCTGGAGAAGATTAAGACAATGATGTAACTATAGGCCCAAGGAAAATCAAACAATCAAATCACAACCTTAGTTAATTTTCAAACCGAGTTGTAATTCAATTAGATGTAATTTGTATCCGAGTTGTAATCAACTCATCTCTAAATTGTTCTTCAACATTTCATAGAAGCAAGTACTTGAAAATCATATGATTAGGAGATCAACACGGCACAATCAAAGAGAGAAATTTCAATGCTAATTTCTGCTCTCTAGTATATAAATTATACATCTGATTAAGCCAGCCACCTATTACCATATATTTGTTATTCTGCTTATGAGAGAAACTGAAAAATGGAGTCTAGTTTAAAGCGAAATTTAGAGAAGAAAATGAGTATATAACTCATTAAATAACCAATTCTTCAAGGCCTACAACCACAAATCAAAGCAAAAAAAAAAAAAAAAAAAAAAGAAAACAACTTGGCATGCACAGAAGAGAAAACCAAGCAAAAAACACTAAACCGCCATTTTTTGAAAAAATCATCCCAAGGAAAAGCAAATACAACAAACCAAGACGTAAAAAACCACCACATCAGTCCAAGTTCCCAAAAAAAGAGGTGGAGATGGATAAATCATCACAATCCGTCATAGTACTACATAGAAACTGGACACATTATGCTGCAATGCCTAAATAGTTTAAAATTTTTTTGGCAAAAGAGTTTAAAAAAATAATAATAAGAAGAGGAGGTTATGAGAACTAAACATGGATCAAAATATAAGGTATAAAGTTGTTCTGTCTGCTTCGTTTTGTAAGTTG